TGCTTTTGGTTCCTTCTACTGTGTTCTTCAATTCAGAAACTGTACTTGTCATTTCTTCTTGTCTCTTATTGAAAGTTTCTACGCCCTTTTCATGCTGATATAGTTTGCAGTAGGTTCCTCTTAGTTTCCCTGTAGGTTTTGGTAATTCTCTCTGAGCTCACTGAGCTCATTGAGCTTCCTTAGAACTATCGTTTGGAACTCAATATCTGTAGTTTACTTGCCTCTATTTCACTTAGTTCTCTTTCTGAGGATTCTTCCTTTCCCTTCGACCAGGGGGTATTTCTTTGTCTTCCCATTATTTGTGAAACTCTTCTTTTTTGCTATTGCTTCTTAAATTGATCTGTCTTGATTTCCTGACTTTGTGGTGTGAACTTCTATGGTAGGAGACCACCGTTTTCACTTTCTGGATCTGCCTTTGATGATGTCAGATGTTGACCCTGTCTGACCTTAGGCAGTCTGTTCAAGACTTCCAGGAATCTACTGTCTGTGGCTTTCTCCTTCAGCTGTTAATCTAGTCACTCTGCACTCTGCAGTCAGGTTTAGGCACCACAGGGCGGGACAGAGTCCCTCCTGGGGACTGGGTTATTGAGTCCACTCACGCTATTCTCTCTCAGGGTCGTTGTCTGCCTAAACCAGATGGCTGCTGCCATATGAGGGTGGAGTCAGCATCAGGACCCAGCCAGCTACTCTCTCTGTTCTCTCCCCAAAGCCTCCATCTCCAGTCTCTCCTCAAGTATCTCCTGACCACTCCGTGTCCCCTTTAGCCAGGGATCTGTGGCTGCCACTCTGCACTCAGCAGTCTGCCTAGAGACAACACAGTGCGAGGCTGAGGTTCTCCTGGGGGCGGGGCTATTGGGTCCTCTCACACTGTTGGCGCTTAGGGGATTGGTCTGCCTGAGCAAGATGGCTGCTGCTGTATGGGAGGTGAGTCAGCACTGGGATCACGCCAGCTACTCTCTTAGTTCTCTCTCTAAAGACTCCTTCCCCAGTCTCTCCTCCAGCATCTACAGCTCACTCTGCCCCAACCTTTGCCAGAGACCAGGGTAAGTGGCTGTAAATAAAAATGTATGTGTTGGCCCTTTAAACGGTTCTTTGTGTCTCCAGCCTCCTGTCTCTGGGAGAGAGCAACCCTGCCACTTTTTGCAGCTGCTGTTATCTGTATGCTTTTTGGGCTCTGGGGCTGTAGGCTGGAGATCCATGCTTATGGTTTAGACCCCACTCTTCTCAGGGGAATGCAACTGGCCATTTCAATATCCATCTTGTGCTGCTGCCTATGGGTGCCCCGCCTGCCTTCTCAAGACTCTATTGCACTCCTTACCAGTCAGGTTGTGCTAAATCTTATTCTCTTGTTTTTCCAAGGTTATAAGGCTCCTTTCTCGCTATTGTTCAGTTGTTTGTTCCAGGTGATCTCTCCACAATTTAGTTGTAATTCCAGATTGGTCCTCGGAGGAGGTCAGTGTGACCTCCACTCACTCCTCGCCATCTTGATTCAAAAAGGTCCTCTAGTAATTTCTTACTTTATGTCAGATCTTCACTTGTACAACTGGTTCTCTTTCCAGGTATCTGCCTATTTTTCTGTAGAGTGTACATACTATAGACTTTGCAATTTTAGTATCTTACATCACACCAAAGACACTAGTTTTATGTTATGTTATATATGTTAACATTGGTTAAGTATGTTAAATACTTAACATATGTATGTTAAGAAATCTGTTAAGAAATGTTTAGCCTGTACTTCAAAAAGATGAACTTTTTAAAAAATTGGTTATTTTGAAATTTAAAAATATTAATAAGAAGTTCCTTTTATAAAAGTTTAAAAGCCATTTCATCCACTGTCAAGTCTGTACCCGAACCAAACTCATTGGGGATAATAAAGTGCTGTCCCATCTGCATAATGACCTTCCAGCGTTCCAATGACCCCTCCTATCCCAGCAACTTTATTTTCAATTCAACCCTGAAAGGTAGACAGATGAGGCAGGTGGAAAAATTTAACGCTTGGAGAAATACAGTGATTTCCTCTAGAACGAAATAATTACAGAATGTGGTTTTCCATTTACTATCGTTATGTTTGACAAAGAAATCTTTAAATGTTTACAAATTCCAGCAGACTTGCCCAATTAATATTAAAACTTCCCAAAATTGTCAAAAATAAAGTATTTTCTCATTAGCTCCTTATGAAAATATAAAAAGCTGAACAAGAGAAACACATAGTTAATGTTCAAAATGTATTTTATTAAAAAAAATGGTATAAATCTAAGAACATATATTTCAGACTGGTAGCTGCCTCATTTCCAAAGAGGACTTCAAACTGATAGAAAGTCTCTCGTAGGTAGGAGCTTCCCAGCTTCCTGTGTTTGTTGGAATATTGCTCTCTGGACACGCGTGCATTCTGATTTGTTAAATATGTCTTCTTCTGTTTCTGGAGTTAGTTGGATATTATCTTTGACTGGAGACAGAGGATCTGGCTTCTTACAAGAAGTAAGCTTTTCAGAATCTCTGCAAAATAGAATAGAATAAAATGAATTTGCTGTTTTCGGGGTAGCGATGGTTAGAGAATGACATTCTTGGATAGAAGAGCGGCATATAAAGAGGAGAAGACCCTTTATTGTGTAACTTGCTTCAGTTCATTATATGTACATTCAAGTTCTCTGAGTACATCTAATGAAATCTGCTTCTCAGCATCCCTTCCTGCTTTTCAACTATCTTTCAAAGTAGGGGCTAGGTCACTAATAAATATATACTAGCTAAGGCAGAATGATTCCCATGAAGAAACTAGTTCCTTTCTACTCAGCACTCTTCTCAAGTCTTGCTAAGAACCCATGCAAGTGAGGCATGGGCAACTGTTTTAGCCCCATCTTTTACTCCACCCTGGTTGTGTGTGTTTTGCTGGAAGATGGTATTTGTAGTCTCCACCTCAACATACTTACAGGTTAAAAAAAAAAAAATAGGCCAGTCTGACTTAACATTCTTGATGAAGTAGTAAAAATCATTAATTTCATTATATCTCAATCCTCTCAACTTTCTACTATTCTGTGATCAAAAGGGAAACACACTTCATGCCCTTTGTTGGACACTGACTTCTCCTGCTGAGCTCTGAGACACTGAGAGATGATCACTGTCTCAATAAAAGCACCTGTGACCCTACTGTTATTCTTACTTGAGCACTGGGCAGAGGGCTGCTCTAAGATGAACAAAGAAAGGCTGTTTGTTACTACAAAGAAAGCTACAAAAGTATTTGTTACCAATGCAAACATTTAAGCTTTCAAGTGAAAGTATGAATTTTGGAAAACTTCAATTTTCCACCTGACAGCTTCCAAATACTCAAAGACCTTGATGATAAGATTGTGGTGTTTTTGTTTTTTTTTTAATAGTGGGTAATAAAATATGTCAATATTTGAAAAATAACAACATTTTCCAAATGGCCAATTCACAATGCTATGAAATTATGCACAAGGAACAGGTGCACTCAAAGTGCAATATAGACCAATGGGCTGGGGCCTAACACAGCACGTCAAGTCCACAGATAAGGTTTCACATTCTGCATTGCAACCACCTTAAAATCTACTGCCTGTTGAATTTTGATGTAACATCAAAAAGAAAAATTACAATTCAATAAAAAGGCCATTAAAATATTCACTTTTAAACTGCAGATACATGTGGGGCCAGGTTTTCTTCATATACTTCAACCAAAACATACCACAACAGATCAAACACAGAAGCAGATATAAGGGTCAAGCTTAGTTCTATTAAACCAGGTAGTAAAGATTTGCAAGAATGTAAAAACAGTGCCACTCTTCTAAATTTTTTTGGTTTTGGAAAAATATACTATTGATGTTAATATTTCATGAACTTTTGTTATTTAAGTATAAATATTTTTAAAATGTTCATTTTAATTTCTTTAAAAAAAAATTTCATTGATTGATTTTAGGGAGAGAGGAAGAAAGAAAGGGAGAAAGGCAGGAAGAAGGGAGTGAGGAAAGCATGGATTTGTTGTTCTTATGCATTCGTTGGTTTCTTTTTCTATGTGCCCTGACTGGGGATCGAACCCACAACCTAGGCATATTGGGACAATGTTCTAAGCAAATGAGCTTACAGGGCAGGGCCATTTTAACTTGTAAAATGCTTAAATGTTGACAGACAGAACACAGAGACCAACCAATGTATTTTGGGGCCTTCAGTAACTTAAAAATATAAAGAGTTCCTGAAGGCAAAAAGTTTGAGAACTGCTGCTATATGGTTTACTCTTAAGACTTTACACAATGTAAAATAGGAGAAAAAAAATTGTCCAGCATGAACTTATTTATAGTGTTTTCATTCATATCATCTGATTGTGACATTTCTATTAGGTAAGGTTTAATCCTACCACACCCATGCAATTTTTCTGTTTTTTACTTTTAATCTTAGCACAATTTGCTTTATTAAGAACAAGAAAATAAGTGAATTATAAATTGATGTTACTTGGTCACTAATTTCGTAGTCTAACAGAAGGAAGTACTGTGGTTCAACAAATGTAGATATATATAGGACCAAATTATTTAAACAGTGTTTGCCACACACACTGGAAATCTGGCCAATTCATCCTATAAACTCAATGAGTTCCCCCATTTTAGATGTGATAATATGGGGAAGCAAACTGCTTTAAATCCAGAAAGTACCGTTACCTTCCCACGCTCTATGTCTTAAACAACTTTATTCTCATTACATTGCTGAGAGGTAAGAAGGAAAGAGAACTGAGAAACATAGGCCAGGAAAAGTAGTTCGCTTAACAACAGAGGCCCGACTGAGAATGGAGTTTTTTTAGTTGGCCATCTGGATCGCTCCACGAAAAAATGTACAGAAATTGAAGTTAAATATACTTTTATGAAGGGTCAGCTAAAGGAAATAGAATTTTCTTAGGTAAGAGAAAAAGAAATTCCTTCATATTAAAATAAAGTTGAGAGAATGATCGAGACTACAGAGAAAAAAAATTTATCCTATTTTAGAGGAAGTAACAAGACAACTCACTTTTTAAATCCAAAATTCTTCCAGAGCTCATTGATTTTTATCTGCAGTCCCGGCCTGTTCTCGGCATTCTGATGTTTCCTCTTCTGGGTGCCTGTTGCCTTCTTGCTCAGCCCGCTGGCTCTGGCAGGAGCGAAGGCTTTGATCTTGGTTGTAGAAAGACTGTCCATAGAACTAGATTTATACAGCCCGGGAACCTGGAGATTAAACGCTCATTTTAGTACTATTCTGTTAAAGCAGCTATCTTTAGTTAATCCGCACAGACAAGTAACTTATAAGCAATGCGTAAAAAGTGCTTCTCATTAGCATATCTGAATTTTAGTAATAGCAGCACTACCCTTGCGCGTTGGGGCCATTATTAAGGAAAATAAGGGTGACTTGAACACAAGCACCGAGATAACATGACAGTTGATCTCGTATCCGAGATGGCTGCCAGGTGACCCATGGATGGGCCGCGTACACAGTGTGAATACGCTGAACAAAGGGGGGGTCCCCATCCCAGGCAGGATGGAGTGGGACATGAAATTTCAGCATGCTACTTAGAATGTGACGTGCAATTTGAAGCTTATGAATTGTTTATTTCTGTAATGTGCCACTTAATATTTTCAGACCACAGCTGGTCAGGGGTAACTGACACTGCAGAAAGTGAACTGTGGATAAGGGGGACTAGTGTGTACACACACGCACACACACACACATACACAGCAGCATAATATACATGTTGTGTCCTTTGTCTTTCTTAATGAATCTTGATTCTACTTAATAATGTACCTTGGAGTTTTTTTTTCCATTTTACACAAAGAACTACATTTTGTTTCGAATAGGTTACCTGTTCTTCCACTGTATACATGTGTCTCTTAGGTTATTTCCACCAAAGGGTTGGCTTTTATTGGGGGAAATATGGGGTCATTAAAATGCTGGTGTTTGGGGGGATAGTTATCAGTGAGGTATATAAAAGAAGGTTTTAAAATTAACGAAGCTGGCAGACAGTGTATAAAGAATGAAAAGGATTAAGAAAAAAAAATCCTCATAGACAACAGCATGGTGATAACGGGAGCGGGGGCGAAGGGGGAGCAGGTGGGAGAGTTTGGTAAAGGGGATAAATGGTGACAGCAGGAGATAGGACTTGGGGCGGGGACCGCAACACACTATACAGACGCTGTTTTACGGAACGGTACCCTGAAACCTGCAATTTTATTAACCAATGTCACCCCAATACATTACACTTTGAAAAAATTAAATAAAAAGGATTCACACATGAAAGGTGAAATCCTAAGGTAGGATGTTGGTGACGGGAAAAAGGGAGCGAGCCAGAGACCAGACAAAGAAAGCAGCACCAGACCTGGATGGGTGCAGGGGCTTGGCTGCTTTGCTTTACTTCTGCAGAGGGACTGAGCGGGCAGTTACAAAGAAAAAGGACAACCATTCGATTTTGAAACTAAATGAGAAAAAGTAATATAATTTTATATAAAGGATACATATAAAAATGTTCTGAGAACGGGTCAGAGGTGAAGAAGGTGATGGGTGCTGGGGATGGAGGGGAAGGTTCATCGGGAGTTTTCACTGAAACAGAAGCGACGGTTAAACCCCGACAATGCAGTGCAAGGGGTGGAAAGACGATGGTTTAACGTCTCCATATAACAACTCCTTTCAGGGAAGTACGTTCTACATTTCTAATCCTATCTCTTACTGTAAATAATTTTGGGATTTATTTCCAGACTTTTTACTATGATTACACAAATACACACATTCATGCATGATTATTTTTACGTATTAAAGCAAACAAAAATACCGTGCTAATAGCATTTTTCCTTTTCATTCAAAAATAATATGGACATCTTCCCAACACAGGATATGTTTGAAAAAGTCTCAAAGACGTTAAAGTCTTATATTTACTACTTTACATTAATATTTTACTATGTTTGGGATTTGCATTTATACCGTCTGAGATTAGAATATTCTTTACATGGATATGCAGACTATTGAACTTTTCAAAAAGTTTTTATGTTTTAAAAAATAAATATATGTTCAATATAGAAAAACATGAGAAAACAAAGAACAACAATCAAGCACAGACAAGATCCTAGAGGGTTTGAAAGTAGATATTTTTGTGAAAAAAATATAGGGATTTCAGTTCTAAATTGTGGTGGTATTTCTTATTTTCTGATAATAATCATGCACTGCTTCTGAAATTTAAAAAAAATTAAATGTTTTACCTTATTCCTTAGAAGCTTGTCTTTGTTTGAAAAATGAGATAAGTGTAGCTTGGATTTCTGATTACCTTGATTATCAAGTGACTTAAAATTGCAATCAGATTCCTAGATCCCCCAGATCAAAAAATAAAATAAAATTAGATTTTCATTTGGAATGTATATAACTAACCAAAATTCAACAGAACAGAAAACAAGCAAACAAGAAAATTCAGTGTAAATAAAATGTAATTACTCCAAGAATAAAGTATAAAAAGCTTGGGAGAGAACAGAAGAAAATGAAAGAAATGTGAGAAGAATGCGGTTTGCCAGTGTTACTGCAAGCGACATTAAAGAAGCTAGCAAGATGCTTTGGCTGGAGAATAAATTCCACAGAAAAAAGCACACCTTTAAAATGGAAGACTTCTCTGAATTGTTTCCGAAGCCAGCCAAATGCTAAAACTTAGGTGGGCACAAGTCCCCTCCTGTGTAAGCTTGGCGAACAGCTTTCATACAGTACTAGCTACGGAATGCCAAACCAGAGTAGGTCTACGGCTCTCTCTCTTTTAAATTGATTAGAGAGAGATTTGTTGTTCCACTTATGCATGCACTCACTGGTTGCTTCTTCTATGTGCCCTGGTCAGAGATGGAGCCCACAGCCTTAGTGCATCTGGACCACACGCTAAACAACTGAGCTACCCAGCCAGGGTTGGTTCGACATCTCTTAATTGTGTAACATGTTCAACATTAAAGAGAAAAAAGGCATTTACTCTCAAGAACTAGAGTAGCACTGTATCAAACGCACAATTACCCTTAGGAATGACTTGAGGACCTACTCTGTGCACCCCAATCCCATCATGTAAGACTTGTCTATAGACAGAATAATCCGAACACCCACCAAGGTCAAATAAAAAGGACAATGAATGGAAATTTAGAAGACTTTACATTCTGCATTTCATGAGGGTTTTCTTTTAATATTTATCTTGGGATTCTACACAGTATTATATATTGTACTTCAAAAAATAAAAACCAAAGTGAAAAATACTCCATTAACTTGGGTTGTGACTTACAGAAACTCTAATATTCTTCACTCACAGCCAACAGGAGGGGGGACTCTGGGCTAAACCATTTCTTCAAAGAAAGACCTCGAGCAAAGACCCTAAGACGATCCCCTCAGATGGGGCGACCGAACTAACAGAGGGAGCCGCGCTTCAGGGAACCATGGCCAGAGACTCAGACAGAGAACATTCTCTCCAGAGCCAGACGGTGAACGCTGACGCTCAAGACCAAGCCGCCACGGCCCTGGGGCTTCCTGAAACACTGTCTGGATCAAAGACAGATGGTACTCTTTTTATTAGCAATCCATCTGCCCTCGGGGGAGTTCACTACATCTGGAAGCAACCGATGACCTAAAGAGTGATTTCTAGCGTAGCCCATCTTTCTCGGTCTTTCTTGGTTCACGTGTCTGTGGCTGATTAGCACAGCAGACCCCGAGCCCAGAAGACGGCAGAGGGCTGAGTCCCACGGCACGACTGGCCGCAGCCTGCGAGCGGCACAGGCTTCTGAGCGAAACGTGCCTACAGGCTCGCAGAGTAGGTGGAACACAAGACATCTGCAGGCAAAAGGAAAAACAATGCCCCCGAGGAGCTCTGCAGACGTAAAAAAATGTCCTCGCAAACAGGCGGGGACTTTCCACGAAAGATGTTCAAGAGCTGGCCTTCGTGGGGGCACCCACGTGGTGCAAGAGAGCCTGCCCGGTGAAGGGAAAAATGGAGACGGTGACATTAAAAGGAAGGCGCATGTGCGAAGGCCAGTCCGGGTGAACCAAAGGCTTCGCAGCAGCGCAGCTTTCGCTGGGCGTCCTCTCTCTAACACTTAGAAACCCCACGTGGCAGGGCCCGGGGTTTCCCGTGAAAGCTGCCTTCAACTTTCTCCATGTGAAAACGGTTTGTTTCCACATCGTAACTTGGCTCTTTTCTTCCATTTGAGCCCAATACGACTTAAGTTTCCTTTTGGAACTTACGGAAAATATTTTCCTTTTGGTAAATATAAGCTATGCCGATTTGTTAGATGCTGTTCAATACTCAGCATTATCAGGCATCGAATTCCACGGAGGCCGTAACTGTTCTTACAGCGTGGTAATTAGAGTCAGTAGATATAAAAGGAAGTTTGTTACACTGACATGTTATTTAAAATAGCTCCAATTGAGGTTCGGAAGTATTTTAACTCAGATTCGAAGAAAGCTATTATGTTGTCATGTCTTTTTCAAATATAATGTCACTGGATCTTATGAACAGTACTGATTTAGGGTTCTGATTGTAAGTCAGATTAAAAGGTATTTTATAAATCAAAAATGGTTAGGATGCTTTTATGAATTTAAAACAAAATAACAAAGTCACTTGTTTTGTTATAAAGTAGAAGTGTATAGGAGAAGAGTAAATGAACAGATATTTCTGAAGGACTGAAACTTAGGATGGACAGCACCACGTTAATAGGGCCATTTCCTTATAAGGTTTTCAATGTTCTCTGGATTCAACAGTATATTAAGGAATAAACATTAAATTTATAACAACTTTTCATTTCATAGCTTATCATTCTGCTTAGGTCATAACTGGAGGCTGCGATTCAAACAGTACAGTTAGATTAAATGTGTAAGAGTTTAAAGTGCGAAAGATACAGAGAAGCCCTTCAGATGAAAAAAATGTGGATTTCCTGCACGGCAGTATCTAGAGTGAAAAATTAAGACACCCAATTATTTCCCTGATGTAGGCAAACTTTTCTCAATTATACGGTAATAACACCCTATTTTGCTTTACATACACATTTAAAAACAAAGGTTTCATAATGTGACTTACCTCTGAATCGAAATCCTTATTAGAAGGCCGAGAAAGCTCTGATGCACTTAAGCTGAGTGGTGATAATTCTACACTTTCCCGAGACCCTGAAGACCAGCCCAGTCTGCGTGAGGGAGGTGCATTATCGCTGGACTCATCGCTCTTTGCCTGGGGTCCATCAGTCGTCTTAAGCTCAGGCAGGGAGCTGGGGGAATCGTCCTTTCTCCGGAAGCGATGCAATGCTGTACTCGGAGAGGGGCTCGGAGTTCTCGAAAACTCTCTAAGACTTCCAGACCAACTAAAACAACTTCTCAGTGTCCCCAAAGTGGGTGGGGAAATGGTCCTTGTGAGTTTGTTGGTCTTACAGGACTGAGATTCTTCATCAGCAACCATGCTTCCATTATCTGAAATCTGAGCACTTGAATCATGTGCTACATCCCCATCAGCCAGCTTCTGGCCCTCTAGACTTTCTGATTCATTTAGATCAAGCAGCTTCTGGCCCTCTAGACAATCTGATTCATTTAGATCAAGCAGCTTCTGGCCCTCTAAACAATCCGAATCATTTAGGTCAACCAGTTTCTTGCCCTCTGTACATTCTGATTCATTTAGATCAACCAGCTTCTGGCCCTCTAGACAATCAGACTCATTTAGATCAACGAGTTTCTTGTCGTCTAGACATTCTGATTCGTTCAGTTCGACCAGCTTCTGGCCCTCTAGACAATTGGATTCATTTAGATCAACGAGTTTCTTGCCCTCTGGACATTCTGATTCATTTAGATTGGTCTTTTTATCTGTGACAGCAGTTTCATCTAGATGCTGGCTGCTTGCTTTGTTTGATAGAGAGTCCACTGAATCCATAGAATTACAAAAAAACCTAACAGAAAAAAATAACAGAAAGGACGCATCAGTATCTTCGTTTCCTCACAAGGTCGTAAGATTCAGAATATGGCCCAGTTTCTTTTTAAAACAAAGTCTCATAAATACATAACTTCAGAAATAAAGGCAAAATAGAGATTTTTTTATTATGTCAACATTCACACATTTAGAAATTTTATTTCTACAATAAATTTGGGGGGTTCTCTAAAAGCAGCCATCTATATATGCATGTATTTGGAGGTCTGTACTTTACTACATGCCTGGTCATTACATAGATATTCTTTCTGCTAACATTTTTAACTACAAAACAGACCGTAAACTCCTTGAGGACAGGTACTGTCCAAGCCTTTTTACCCTCTGTAGGACTAAAGCCGTGGCTAACACAGGGCGGACAGCCAAATACCTAAGCAGATATAGAAATAGGCAACAGCAAAGACAATTTACAGTTGCTGTCTCACATTTTGTAGAAAGCAAAATTAAAAGAAATAAGCCATTTGCCCATCATCTTAGCGTTACTTTTAGTAGCAAACCATTTGGGAACTTGTAGTAGACTAATCTACCAGCTTTTTATACACTCTATAAATTTCTATACTATTTTAGTAGTGAGGTTAAGACTTTCAAGTCAATCATTAAATTCCACAATACTTCGGTGGTATTGTTTATTCAGTGTGACATCTTTCTTTAAAAAAAAAAAAAGCACTTAAAAATGCTCCAACTGCCCTGGCTGGTGTGGCTCAGTGGACTGAGTGCTGGCCTGCGAATTAAAAGGTTTGATTCCTTTTAATTTTTACTTTTAAGGTGCTGGTTCGATTCCTGGTCAGGCTACATGCCTGGGTTGCAGGCCAGGTCCTCAGTTTCTTTCCTTCTCCTCCCTTCCCCTCTCTCTAAATATAAATAAAAATTTTAAAAAAAATACTCTAATGCAAAGGAAAGAAAGATCAGTACCATTATTATTGGAGAAATGTATTCAAGGAGTGTTTTTAGGTTTAAAAAGAAAATCCTAGAGTACATGATCAGATAAATAGGAAACTTAAAGAGAATTTTTCTTCTTAGTAAGCATTATTGAGCTCAAGTTCAAGACAGAGGCAGAATATTGATTAAATCCTAGGAAGTGAAGCCCTCTGTATCCTTTCCTCAAACCCTCTGGCTGCAGGGAGCGGAGGCAGGGTCCGAAGGAGGCAGTGCATGTAAGGAAAGGTCTCACTAATGGGCAGAAAGTATCGGCTCCCAGATCTGATCACATAGCTCATTTTTAGGTAAACAATAATCCCTATGATATGAAATGTTCCTTCATGTATTATTTCATGGGTAAGAGAAGCCACACTGCCCAAGGTTATATGATTAATGTGCTAGGGAACAGAATTGAAACCCAGAACTGCTCGCTGCTTCTTCCCAATTAGCCTATGGTATTATCAGTACTTAATTGGTATTTGTATTTCTAGATCTCAAAAGATAAAATGGCATGATTCTAAAGTATCTACTATATATAATAAAGATAGAGAAGACTTGAAAAAGACAAGCTTCTCAACACGTAGTATTGTATCAAGTTCTCAATATTAGAGCTCTTACATTCATCTGTATTTAAATATATTTCTAGTAATACTTCGCAAAATTGTACTTAGTTCTTAAAGAAACTAAAAAAGTAGAAACAAAGAAGTAGGGACTCCCCCTACCCAAAAGAATTTTTCTAATACAAAACATATATAAGGTCCACAATTCTCATTTTGGTCCTGTATAAAGTGATTACAAAAGTAGCAGAAGTTCAGGGAAAAAGGAGTGCGTTCAGGTCTGAACAGAAGTCATACACAGTAAAAACTGCAATTGTATTAAATCGGCTCCTACACCTACCCCAACAAATTCCATGTTTATTTAAGTCAATTCACTACATAACCACAGAGTATATAATACAGTGGACAAACCGCGTTCTAGAGATACGCCCATACCTGCTTCTGGTCCCTGGAACGGCAACTGCGCCACTTTCTTCATTTTTTCTCCGTAAAAATGCTGCAAATTTATTTCTTTTTGTAGGTGGTGCGCTTAAGCTTTCTTTAACAGTAGTCGCATCTAACAGGTCGGGCATGCACGTTTTGGAAGACTTCAGTGACTTACTACCTTCGCAGCTGCTGTTTCTCTTGGTCTTCTTTGTGGATGAAAGAGAATACTGACTCAACAGGTCATCTTCTGACAGCTCTTCTGAATAAAAACAAATCAATAACCTTCCGTTCATATGCAGTTAAGAGATTTGCGTTTCACCTCACAATCTGTGCTCCTCTGTCCTAAGAATGAATTCTTTTTTTAAAACCGTGCATAAGAAAAGGAAACCCAAGAATAAAATAAATTCCTAATTTATTTTATTAGGAATTTATAAAATATACAAATATCAATTATTTGTTTAATTTCATGTGAAATAGCCCAAACCAAAGTTTCAGGAGACAATTCTGTAAGGCTATATACTCAACATACTTATTTTGAGGATACTCAAAATAAGGGCCTAATTTTGAATGTAAAAAAAATTTTTTAAGAGAACTTACTTGTAAATATATAATTAATGTTTAATTTTAAAAATGTCCCTGCCTGAGATAGGTGAGGACACACAGACAGCAGTAAGAAGTTTTAATCAGTCCAACTAATTCTCAGTCTGTGCGGCTTCTACGCTCATCGCTCTAAAACGCCAGTGACCAGCTGAGGGCGCCAGTAGGCCAGGGACAGGAAGATGATGCTCAAATTTCAAAATGTACAGATTTTTAAAAAGCTGTAGATCAGTAGATTTGATTTGGACTCCTGGCAAAAGCGTAAATCTGTTTATTATGAAGCGAATTATAAGCCCTTACAAGTGAGGAAAAAACAAATATTGTAGGAGCCCCAACAAAGCTTCCCCAAGAAGCCATGCCAGACTAACCTCATTTGCTTTTTGTGACAAGCTTTAGACTAGCTAGCTATTCAGGGGGAGGTCATTGATTTAGGACATTCAGTGTCTCTCCTATTATCCAGGTAGACAAACAGAGCAGAATCTACTGTATAGAGTTACGTGGATTTGCAGCAGTTCATCAGCCCTGAAAGACTAGTCATGATTGAGTCTGAAAGGAGGCCCGTCTCTACATCTTTAGATTTCTGTACTCGCTCTGATTCAGTTAAACATGACATAGGCAAACACATTTTACCCAAAACTTTAAGACACAGGACACCACACTTCTTAAACTGTTAGCTGATGTAGATAATACCCATAAATTACAAGGTAATACAGATTCAAAAACAAACAAAAAAATTAGTGGGCAGAACAATGCATTAACATGAATTCAGATTAGGTAAACAGGAATAATTTCACCTCCATTTAAGTTCAAAAGTATAACTGTAACTGGTTTAACAGCAAGTGGCGGAATTTGGTTATAAACTCAGGAAATGCCAGCAAAATGACAAGGATGAAAATAAAAGCGAACACTATCTTCGTTTGCAATAAAAAAATGAAGAGTCTCTGGATAAACGACTGAAATAGTGCCACAATTTTAAAAATTTACTATGTTCTATGGTAAGCAGATCACATCTAAACAATCACTCTAACAGACAATTAAGCTCAATGTAGAATAGGTAAGGAACTTTTAGTTTGGAAAAGAAATTTAGGAGGGTCGCATTGGCTGTCTCTAAATATATGAAGGGTTGTCACATAAAAGAGAAATTCAACTTGCTCTGTTTTGTTTTTGTGCTTGTGTTTGTGCCCAGGGTACAAAATCCATTGACAAGTTGTGGTTTAACAAAGCGGACTCAGTCTGACATAAAGGACTTACTAGTAATGAGCCCTCTGCATAAAAAGAATGGTCTATCTTGATGGTAGCAGAAGGGCAGGAACTCACACACAGCACACACTTGCTATGTACCAGGTGCTTTTATAGTTATCTTATATAACACACACAAAAATGTGTGACCTAGGCAATTTTGTTCCCATTGCAGAAGAGAAAACAAAGGTTCAGAGATATTATCATGAAAAATATTTAGGTTCATAAGGAATCAGAATGTTTTGGCCAAAAATGTATAATGTCTAGATTTAAAAAATAAAAGCATGAACTACAAATTTGTAAAAGGTTTTGCTTTGTTTTTGTTGTTAGTCTACTATTATGTCAAACAGTGACATAAATGAATATGAAAGGAAAGAAAATAGATTACTATTCTTTATATTTCTGAACATGTTCTATGGTGAAAAAAACCAAAAAACAAACACTCTTCCCAATACCTAGTATTCCATTCTCAGCACTGCTGTTCAACATTGCACTGGAGGTTCCAGCAGGCAAGAAAAAGAAATAAAAGGCATCCAGACTGGAAAAGGAGAAGCAAGACGGTCTTTACTTGCATGAAATGTGATTGTTTATATGGAAAGTCCTAGCGTTTACAAAAGTGAATTCGAGAAGGTTGCACAATACAAGATTGATATACAAAATCAATTCTTTCTATATACTAGCAACGACGAACTAGAAATCGAAATTAAGTATCATTTATAAGTTATAAAAAGTCTGAAATATAGGGATATATTTTATAATGGATGTGCAAATCCTATGCAGTGAAAACCATGAAACACTGCTAAGACTTAAGTTAGACTTAAATAAATGAATTGGAAAATTCAGTATCATTCAGAGGCCAGTTCTCCACAAATTGAACTATAGATTAAACTAGACCCCAATCAAGATCACAGCAGGCCTTTTTTTTTTTTTTTTTTTAAATAAAAGAAGCTGAGAGTTCATTCTAAGATTTAAATGGAAATGTGCAATATACAGAATTGGCCAAAACGACTTTTCAAAAGAACTTAAGGGACTTACACTGCTTGATTTCAAAATCGACTATAAAGCTACAGTGCCCAAGACAGTGAGTCTGGCATAAAGACAGGAAAAGAGACCAATGGTACAGACAGAATCAGAGTTCAGAAACAGACCCATACATATATGGTCTATTAATTGAGGATAAATGTGTCAAGACAATTTAACAGGAAAAGGATAATTTGCTTAACAAATGGTACTGGGACAACTGAACTGTCATGTACAAAAATGTGAGCCTTGATCCTTACCTTACACTGTATTAAGGAAATCAATTCAAAATTAATTATAGGCCTAAAGATAAGAGTTAAAACTATAAAAGTTCTAAAACAAAAAACAAACAAAAAAAAGACAGGAGAAAAATCTTAGTGACCTTGGGTTTAGCAAAGATTTCTTAAATGTGACTGATACTCACTAGTATGTCAGAAAAACAAACTACATACCACTTCTTGGTCTTTTCACACTGGACAACTTTCTTGGAAGATTTAACCCTTTAGTACTAATCAGTTGTTCAATGCCCACAGTACTTGGATTTTCCTTCAGTCTTGTAGCATCTGGAACAACATCCAGCTCAACTCTAGGGGAATAATTCCTATGCCAAATGCTATTAATATGAGATGACTTTGGACACGTTCTGTCATCCCAGCTATGACTCCTTGACTGGGCAGGCTGAAACAGTAAAAGAACAAAGGTTACTTGAAGAAAAATAGTCAATTTATTTCCCTCAGCATCAACATAAGTTATAAGCAAATAATTAAATTACCCTGAAAAAGAACAGCTTTTTGATGAAATATCTGTCCTCTAATAACATTTTCTACTTTTCTGTTAAATGTGTCCTGTAGTCTTACGTTTGTTTTTCTTCTAACGAGGGTCAAAGGACCTTGTTAGCTCATTTCTAAGAAATAAAACTTCCTAAGATGAATAGTGCAAGATATGAGATTGCAATTGAAGAAATATGGGCCACAAAAAGTACTTTTAAAATTTGAGTATTATTTCAGTACACATTAATTGGTTTAATAACCACCTGGCAATAAGCCTCTAAATAATTATTTACATACCCTTTACAAAGCACCAGAAAGTTAAGACCATAACATCATATATTTAAAGTAATCGACTATCCCACCTCTAGAAACTGGTTGAGTCAAACCAAAACAACCTAACTTACAAAATACTAGTTACCATTAAACCCATCCTTGGAACCACCTATACTGGGCAATACAAAAAACAGCTACATTGAGACTTACATAAAACTTTCCCTGAGAGGCCTGATTGTCAGTTAGGATTGGTGTATTTACCTCCTTTATTTGCTGAAGGAATGAATGTCAGTATGTGACCTCTTTCATCCCCTCGGACCAGAAAACTGGGAAAGCTGGCCTGCTTTCATTGCTAAGTCCTGTTGCTTCTTTTAGTTGTCTTGATTGATAGTTCCTGCTTTCTCATAGTTTCTAGCCCAATCCAGTCCTTTTTACCCTCCTTCATTAATTCAGTCCTTTACTAAGCTTTTATTAAGAGCATTAGACATAGTTAGGTTAGCTAGTCTTCTGGAGTACAAAGAAAAATAAAATATAACCCTTGCTTGTAAGGACTTAGCAATGAAAGATGGTCATAAAACCCCACCTTTACGCAGATTACATTCTTTTGGGAAGAATCAGAAAATAAACCAGAGACGCATAAATTATGTAGCACAAAGTGCTAAACAGCAAAAAAAAAAAAAAAAATTGAGGGAGCTGTTATTTACTAGGGAAAGCCTACGTGGAATGAAGAGTTTGTTTTTGACTGTGGATAGATTTGAGGTTACAGAAGTCATTTATGTAGATTCAGGAGACATTGAGAATTACGGGGCTGGTGCACAGACCAAAGACGGGGTTAGGATCCATATGAAAGAAGAGAGAACAGAGTCTGAATGAAAATGTGAACAGAAAAGAGAACGGTGGGAGAGTGTACCAGACGGGGCATATACAACCTGGAAAAAGCAGAACCGGAAAGGGTTAAAAAACATAGTGGGTGCTGATTAAATATTTGCTAAACTGTAAATGAGTGAAAACCAGCTCGGACTCCCAAGAGTAGTGCTTCTGGGTCTCGGTCTTCTTCCACAAAACCAAACGACAAAAGCTACACAGGATGAGACGAGAGGCATGAAGTCCGTGGTATATTCAAGTGAAGTGTTCAAGTCTAAAGGTTTGATAATATACAGTGTGGTTGCTTTTTAATTTAAGGACATTAATCAATCTACCTATGTTCTAAGGGATAGAATTTCTCTACCATCAAGTTGTTCTCAATCTATACTCTGCAAAGTGCCTCGGTATAAAAATGCTTAAGATATGTTTACGAAATAAAGATCTGTCTTTAGTCAGTTTCTGAGACAAAATTGAAATGTAACTAAAACGTGCTTTTAGAGAAGCCATTAAAATGTTACCATAGCAGAGTCTGGATTGTAGTCATCGATCTGTTCAAAAGTATTTATATCTTTATTTCCAAGTGCTATCTGAAGAGCTATAGAATCATCAATATACCTAGGTTGGTAAGATTAAGGAACAATGCTTTTATCAGCAACCAAACAAAAACCACTGTATTAAGATAAAAAGGTACATTCCATTGTCACAGAAAGTTTTCAGTTTCTTAACTTCAATGGGCCCTACTTCCACACTCAGCAGCATCAGAACCAGGAGCATATTTACTCATCTCTAGTTGTCACCGCAGGACTTGGCTGTGTTCTGAAGCAAAGCCCCACGTCAACACTGACTCAGAAAAGTCCCGCCCCTGGGCCGGGTGGGGGCTGGGATGGGCACTGCCCCAGGGTGTGGCCACTGGCTGTGGGAGGAGCATCCCCAGCGGAAGTCCCCGCCCACCCAGATGCTCCTCCCACTCCATCAACCTTGGTTGCCAGGAGTGTTTCTCTTCAGTGCCACCTTTGGAATATGTTCCTTAAGTGACTGACTCTGGACATGTTTCTATCAAGTCACTCTAAGCAATTAGCAAGTTAAAATGAATGAGCCTCAGATTTATAAACAAGAAGTTGCTCTACCTTTTCACTAGACTGGTAATTAAAATCAACAAAATACAGATTTCACTATAAAAAGAGAAAGCAAAAAACAATTTTCAAGCTTTTTACTGAATGTCAGCAAAAACACAGGGAAGAACGGAAGCATTCTGCCGCCCTGGCTCAGAAAGGATACCGCCCAGCATAGCTTAGGGTTTCAGGGTCTACGTCATCTCCGTAGTCATTCAGAGGGACGAGTTTCCTTCTCATGGGATCGAAAACTAGCTGATAAAGGAAGGTATTGTTGGCCCGAATAAATCCTTTGACGTAATCTTCTGGCACTGTTATATTCGTCTTGAGATAATGTCCAATTTTCTTGATAACCTAATAATGGATGCAAAAATATTTATGAGTTATCTGCAAATGAAGAATGCAGAATGTATTAGTCCTAAGGCCAATCAGTTTACATGACAGGAGAATGAAAAAAAAGTAGAAAAACCAATTGCTTTTATCCACATTAAAAACCTCTACCACCAAACACAAGCATGTTACATCACCAAAATTCGGAGTCTCTATAACAGTGTTTTGTTTGCTTTTTCTACTAATCCAAAGAATGAAAAATTCAGTTACACGTCAAACTTACATTCCTAGTTACAACTTTAAGATATTCTTCACTCTCAAAAGTCCCTTTCGTTCAGAAGGCAAAAAACAACATACAAAACTTGAGAATTCCAAAACCGCAAGTATTCTCAGATCCTATTTTTAAAGCGAAGTTGGCGTTCTCATACTAACAGAGTCATGGATGATTAAAGCTGGAAGTGGTTTTAAATATTTTATGTCAAACTCCTAGATGGAGCAGGGGAGACCCAGAGAATGGCAGTGACGCTGGAGTCACAGGCTGCCGAGGCCACGCTGCTCCGTCCCCAGCCCAGGATCGTTCCCGGCGACTGCACCACCCGCGGCCCTGAGGGCTCACGCCGTCCCCCGGAAACGGACAACGGGAGCTCTGCTCTGCAAACTCTGAGGGGCTGTAGGGAACCACCCAACGGGGAGAGACGATGCTTCTATCAGAGAAATTATAGAGCGCCGAGGTGCGGCGGCTCAGAATTTTCCAGGGGCGCCATGACACAGGATGCTGCGTCAGATTGCACGGGGAAGGAGACATGAGAACCCCACTGTCTCCTGTTAAGCCACGTTAAAGAGATTTACATAAACGTGCAATTCTCAGAATTTTCATTGGTTTTAGAAGACATGGCTACTTTTCATAAAAATATACTATTTATGTAAGCACGTGATAAATTTGTTATTATTAACTGAATTACTAAGCATTTCAACTTTGGTTTTAATTTCTGATTTGGTAACTGTCCAGACCTATAACCCATATAAACAAAAACTACTGCCACAAAGAAAAACTACTGCTTTTAAGAGTATAAAGGGATCCGGAGACTGAAAGTTTGAGGACCACTACTATTGAGTAATTGGACAAAAATCAAAAGACGGTACGTGTTAACATTATTTCTACCCTAGAATATTTTGAATAGCCCTTAAGTCTCTTTACATTACTCTTCATTTTAAAAATCACTACTGCTCTTTTGTCCATTGCAGAAAACATGGTTCATTTGTTGCCAAAAGCTAAGCTCTAGTGTGTGAAGTCATTTTATTTTTTCGGTGACACATAGCTGGCTATTGACATAATAGAATATTTAAAATCCCCATTCTGAGTGTCCTGTCACTTGAGAAATGCCTCTGACGTGGAACGCGACGGGTGGGAAGTCGCTCTGACCTTCACGATGTCGGGGTTGTTGGCCAGCCTGAGTACCTTGCAGGCCTTCGCCAACCCGATCCCGCGCAGGGAGGCGAGATAGTCACAGCCTGAGAGGATGCACATGTACCGGAACTTCTCTTCTGTGAACACGTCCCCAAGCTGCTTGCACATTCCCAGCCGAGCCTGATCAATTTCTAGTCCGTTCCCAGCCTGGTCCATTTTTAAAATCACCTTCAAAAGGAAGGGGAATTGTTAATCCCTAAAAGGCCATTTTTATTTTTTTTATTACGCAAGTCATTGCAGTATTTCTAAGAAATCTCTCTTGTTCTTCGTCGTAACAATGGGAGAGGGGGAGACAGGCAGGCCAGTTAACTGCGTCATATCTGCAAATAAATTGAGCGGAAGCACCAGCTCCGACCGTGACGGACGGAACGCCCTCTCTGCACCTCTCCGCTGCCGACCCACGTGACAGGGCTGTCAACCCGCAATTCATACAAAAAGCACTTACCCTCCACTGTTACTTTTTTTAACGTAGCCCTTTTTTTTGGTTTTTAAAGTAATACATGTTCATTATAGAAAATTTGGCAAACAGAAATTCAGGAGGAACAATATAGAAGTTGCCCTAAATCTCTCATCTATCACTGTTACCCAGCATTAACCTTTTGACATGGATCTTTCTAGTCGTCTGTGAGATATACAGAAATATAAATAACATAGGGGGGGACAAAAATGAGATCACCCTATACTTTTGTATCTTAATTTTCCCCTTAATATATCATAAAAATTCCCATTAAGCAGTTTTATACACAATCCCATTAACAGGTAAATTAGTTTTTAACCTAATCGAATTGAAAAATATAAAGCATGTAAATTATCATTATTATAAAATAAGACTAATAAGTCTATAGTCTGCTAAAGAATTTGGATAAAATAACATGATGCTCTAACCTTAGAGCTTTTTCTGAAAGCAGCAATGTCAAGCAGCAAAACCTTTCTTTTAATTTTAAATAAAATAATTTTTAACATTATAAGTAGTTATTAATTTCAGGTATTAAATATTATTAGAGAGAAAAACTTTAGCTCCTTGATGTACACTAGGTTAAGTACCTTTTTGCAGCCAAACGCGAGGAGGTCAGAGTCCTCTGTAATTATGGCTTGTACAATACCAGCTTTGTTAAGATAGGCCAACTGCGCATCCGCTTCATACGGCGCCACGAGACAATCCACTCCCTGGGCCCGGGCAGCCTGTGACAGAGGACCCGTCAATGCGCAGGACAGCATCTGGAAATAACTAATCAACTTCCTATTCCAAATCCATTCTACTACCAGCCTTCACATGCAAAATACTACTTTCAAAAATCATTTCCTTTGAAGTATGCTTTTTCTACTTTAGTCCTCAGATATATGTATTTAACTGATCATATAGCCGCTAAGTCTTTTAAAAATTGATTAATACATTTGGAGAAAATACTGCTATACTTTGAGGGAGTGTGGGGGGCAATAACTATAAGCCACAAAGTTTAATTATTTCAAATTATTGAAAGGTTCCATCTTAAGAATGGCGATGCTCCAAAAGTACGTAAGGCGTTGTTAGATATCTGAATAGATTTTCAGATAACGGGTTCTCTTATCAGCCTACAAAAGTCTGACAACGATAAACGATACAAACTACAGAATCTAATCACTGTATTTATTTTTCCCATTCGTTGATCAAGCAGTTTGAACACAGGCCTGAGAAGGGGAAGTGAGGGCTGTGATTACAGGCACCTGGACACTAAATATTTACAGTAACAAAAAGATGTTTCTAAGCAGAGCAGATCAGGTGGCCTGGAAGTCCTTGAGATCTGTCACCTGGGAGTGAGGGGCCAGTAAATGCTGAAGACGCATGGAGGCTGGGGCGGGACTCATCCTTCGGGAATGCACCCTGTCATCTCCAGGGGACATGAGGGGGTCAAGGGGCTTATCCAAAAAGGGAGGCTTTCTCCCTGGAAACTGCTGGGTTCCTCTATCTAAACATACTGTTCCCTCCTTCCTCCGACACCAGCCCTCTCCAGATTAGGCCGACAAGAATTTCCTCCCTTCCTTTTCTTGCTCCCCCATTATGAAACAACTTGTAACCAGCTTCGGTGAACTTCGCCATTGGTTACTTCAGCATCCTTTCTCATTTTGCTTACTTTAATTACTTTGTGGGCCATAGCATGCGTGATATTGATGCAACGGGTAAAACATTCTCTGGCTTCTGAGACCTTCCCCTCCCGAAGGAGCTGCTTCCCCCTAAGAAGGTTGGCTTGTCGTCTTCTGCAAGGGAAAAAAAAATAAGAGGTCGAATCAAGACACTGTAACAAAACTCCAATTCAAGAACTGTTTCTAGAATAGAAAGAACTTTGACTCATTTGAAAGTGCGCACCAGCCCCTTGAGACTATTAACCCAGATCTCTTGGGCTGCTGGGCAAAAAGACCAAGCGATTTATAGGGCACACTCACGCATCGGCGGACCAGGCCGGCCCATGGCGGGGTTCTCCGTCAAAAGAAGGTGAATTCACTAAGACACTTAAGTAAATGTGAGTGAAGACTTCTTCACCATCAAAACTAACCTTCAAGTATAAAGGATGGAACTTTATCAACATACAGGAGACTTGAGGAATACTGTTTCTGTGAGCTTCCCTGTGAAATCTGCTAGAGAACAAACTTCAGAAAAACCAAAATAACGAGAGAGACAGTGATGTAAGGACTGTTAATAACCATAAAATATGTGGTAGTTTGTCGAGTCGAGACTAACTAAGGGTTAAGCAGGGAGAGAGCCACAGCTACATGCTCTGACAATATAGTACCACTATTTTAAAATGGGGAAAGAGTATATGCGAAGGAAAGAAAAAGAGATTTTAACTGTTTTCAACCATCATATTAGTAATGCAGATACTGGTATTTTATTCTGAATCTACTGTTGAGTATAATGTGGGAGAAAATAAATAAGTTGTCTCCCCTTATCCCCAGTTTTGCTTTCTGTACTTTCAGTTACCAGCAGTCATCTGCAGAACAAAAATGTTAAATGGAAAATTCCAGAAATAAACAAAATCCGTAAGTTTACATTGCGCGCCATTCCGAGTAGCAGGATGAAATCTCGTGCCAGGCTGCCCTGTCCCACCCTGGACACAAATCAGCCCGTGGTCCAGCGTCTCCTCCTCACTCCATCTCATCACGTGGGCTCGGTGACATCTCACCTCGTCACCGAAGGGTGAGGAGAGTGTAAGATATATTGAGGGAGAAGAGCGAGAGACTACATTCATATAACTTTGGTCACAGTATGTTGTTATGATTGTTGTATTACATTAATTATTGGTGTTAATCACTTACTGTGCCTGATTTATAGTTTAATTTATAAAAAACCCCCATAGCTCAATGTAATTCAGCCAGAGATTAAAAAGAAACTCCACTTACTCTTTTCTTGATGTCTCCACGTCCTTCTTCGAAGGTAAGGTACATCCATCAAATACAAGAATGGGTTTGATCCCATGACACAGTAACATATTTACAAATTTCATACAAAATCCTACATACCTATGAAAATAAAGGAAGCATTTAAGTGTTTTGCATCTTGTAACACTTTTGCTCTTTTTAAAACCCATGATATGAATCATGAAGAGAGGTTTTTATTTTTTTAAGAAAATGTTTTCTTAGGAAATAGAACCTAATTTAGACATGGGTTCAAATCTTGCCTGGGATCCTAATGAACTATAAGTCAGTCAATGGTTACTTTACCCTCCAAGCCCTGCTTTCTTCATCTCTAGATTAAAAGGCTTTGATATCCCTTCCAATTCTAACATTGTATGGTTCCAAATCTTGTCTTTTCTCCCATTTTGATTTTTTTGGCTTGGAAAAATATCAAATATATTGAAAAGTTGAAAGGATTGGCCAACTATACCATTATCACACCCAAGAAATTTAACAGCAATAAAATATCATCTATTATACAGTCTGTATTAAAATTTGTCCACTGTCCCAGTAATGTTTCTTATAATCAGTGGTGTCCTGGTAAATGTTCAACAACTAGTTTTGGGGTAAGGAATGCCTGATTTGTAGCATGTCAATTTCCCTGACACGAACAGTCTACAACGATGGACAAACTACCGCTGCGGAGTCACTAAACTGGGAGGAGCGGTGTATGGCAAACTCGCGCGGGCTGGCTCCAACACAGCACTGCTACAACTTCTACCCCCAGTCCAGGACTCAAACAAGGATCACTATTGCATTTGTTTTTTCATTCTGGCAAGGCAATTAACAAAAATAGCTACTCCCATCATTTCATTAAAAAGGGATATTTCAACGCAAACTAGAAAGACATAACCTTAAAAAGTAATTGTTTAAATCAAACGCATTCATCTTAATGAAAGAGCCACTACATTGCCTTCATTTTTCTTTTTTCTTATAAGCCAGAGACAACCTGCATGGCTCTGCACAGCGATCCTTGTGATCTGATTAAATATCATGCAAGAATAGAGGAAAGCAATATAAAATTGTGATTAAAAAATTTTTAACTAGACACAACACAAACGTTCTTCAGTATGCTGTTGATAGTGTAGCTTATTCCAAATAAAAACTAGGCCTATATCAGAGAAGGAAGTCATTCCTGTTTCTAAAACACTCTTGCTTCTTGAAAAACCTGGCCTTGCATGAAAATGATCCTTTCCTGAAAATAATGCATTATAATCTCACTCTTAATTGGCAACGAATTAACAGGAGGTCCAAACTTACTTATCAGTAGGTTCACCTTTGGCTAGTTTTTCAGCACAAGGAATAGCTCCTTTGTGAAGCCAGCAGTATGTGTCCACCGCTACTGTCTGCCCCTTGTACTTCCTCACGTGGATGGGCTCAGAAGCTTCTTTGATAAATTGCAGTAATCCTTGTATTCCCATTGTGCCAAGTTAACTACACAATATGAAAGGAGAAAGGGAAAACAGCAATATTCATTTTTTTAAAAGATTTTATTTACTTATTTTTAGGCAGAGGGGAAGGGACAAAGAGGGAGGGAAACATCAATGTGGGGTTGCCTCTGGAGCACCGTCTGCTGGAGACCTGGCCCGCAACCCAGGCACGTGCCCTGACTGGGAATCAAACCAGCGACCCTTTGGTTCACAGGCCGGTGTTCACTCCACTGAGCCACACCAGCCAGGGAGAAAATAGCAATATTTAAAGCAAATATATATTTACCCAAAAGTTTTAGGAAAAAGATCCTGCAACTGAAATCGATGTTCTCAAATATTTTACCTGGCCTCCTTCCTGTCAAACAATTTCCATAGTCCAGAATTTTTGTACTAAACCTTAATACCATCTCCAATGCCATTTGATAGCTCCTTAATGTTTCTTCTTTCCAAAGTGCTTTCCCACTTGGAATCGTAATGTGTGCTCTAAGCCCTTACTTAACACAGTGCTTGACACACGGAGGTGCTAAAAAAGTATGAGTCTCTCTTCCCTCTAAAAAGGCATGATAAAATCAACAAAATTTTTCTTGCTATGGCATCACATTCCCGCTACGCGGGCATGATGAGAGCCAACATGTAAATTAGCATAGGATGGGGAAATCAAAACAGTTTGTAGGAAGGTAGGCATTTCAACAGAAAAACATAATAAACACTTCAGGACAAATGCTTTCACTTCCCACTTCCATCCAGGTTGCAACCCCTGCGCCCTTTCTCTACGGAAACTGGGGAGCTGCCACAGTCCTTCCAGAAGCAACTGCCCCCCTCCCAAGTCCCCGTGACAAGAAGAGACAGCCGCGGGCACTGAGCAGTTGCTTGGCGTTTCATAACATAAATCTCTCCCGCCAAACGTTAGGTTTGGAAGGCAGGGAAGCAAGCAAGCACAGGCTCAGAAGTCGGCCTTACCCTGTTGACACTGGACTGAAGCTCTGAGGCTCTAGGGCAGCAGTTTGCAAATTTCAGACGTTGGCAGACTCTCAGCGCCACTCCTAGCGACCGCGATTCACTTAGTTAGGGGGCGACGTGGGGGGTTCTAATTTTAATCTCAGCAGGTTACTAGGATGCAGACGATCCTCAAGCCACAGTTCAAGAACAACTCATCTCCTGCCTCTTAGACAATGTCCCTAAAAAGAGTTTTCTTGCACTCGGAGGCAAACTGACACAGGACGCATTTCGTCGAACAGTTCCTTCTACGCTAGGTAAATATCCTCGAATAAGTAGTTCCTCTTCAGCATAGTGAGGACGAAGGAGTGGCGTGGGGCCCAAATCATCTCAGGTAGAGCACCCCAGGCAACAGGAGCAGCCGCAACATCACCCCTCTATCCTCTGTCGCCCGGAGAGGTACAGGGGTGGCCCGCCAGCCCATTCCAGAAGACAGGTTTTCTCTGGCCTGCATTAAGGAAAAAAACCTACTTGTCAACAGTTAAAAGTCGGGAAATCGCATGTAAAAACGGAACTGCTACCTTCTGCAGAAAGTTTCAGAGTCCGACAATGGGTGCCGGGTCCCGCCGGGAATGGTCGGCGGACAGCGCGGACGATCCCTCGGGACCACACTCCCTCCCACATCACGAACTGCACTCAGCGCCCCCGCCGCGCTCCCCGGGGCTGGGCTGCAAGGTCGGGAAGAGCCCGCAGACCCAGAATCCAGCCGCAGACCCAGAATCCGAGGCCGGAAAGGGACCCCGCGGGGAGCAGCAGGAACCCACCCGCGCCTCCGCACAGCCCGCTCCGCTCACTCCCCTGGAAGGGCTCTCCCCGTCCCTCGAGGGCAGCCGGGTGGGCACCCCGAACCCCGTCCCCAAAGTCCCTGACTCACATGGGCCGCCGCACTGGAGGCAGGCGCGCTGGAAAGGCCAGACCTTTCAATTTGCGCGGGAGAGCCAGCGGCCCGCCCGGCGGAAGTGGCGTCACGCACTCCCCACGCCGGCCCCTCCTCCCCGAACGCCGGCCTGCCCGGAGGCGAGCGTGGGCCCGCAGCCGTGCGACTCCGGGTGGCGCTGCCTGCCGGGTGCTCACGCAGCCTGCTCAAAGTTTTCCTTTCGCAAGGGCCGCTGGGAATTGTAGTTCTCCCCGACTGCAGCCTTAGAAGCCTTAGAAGTCCTGGGCTTCTAAGTTTAGGACTGCACCACGTGTCTGTGTTGAGGGTTTTTTTAAAACCTAAAAAAGGGTTACAGGGAAACAGAAGGTGCAGCTAGTGTTATATTAGTCTTTGGACGCTTCCTGTAGAACTTGGGACGGGAGAGAGGTGGCGCTTGGTAAATAATTTCACTGAGAAGTGGCAAAGATTCTCTCCTTGACCAAATTATAGCCCTTTCTCAACCATAAAGACTGCATTGTAAAGACTTGAAAAAACACTAACATAGTTTCTAACAACTCAAGGCCACATCCCTTGGGTGGGGGCGGGAGGGAATGACTCCAGCTCCCTTTAAAGTGCCTCCAGGAGAAACCTCAAGGCTGCCAAAAGAATTCACTGGTTGTTCCAGCCAACACCCTAAGATAAGGGCCCCTGTTTCCGGAGGAGGGTAGGAGCTTAAGTCCCCTAAGTGCTGCTTAGCAACACCAGCTGGGTCTCACTGTCCCTCCCGATGCTGGTAGCTTTTCACTTCGCGACTCTCCTGAGCTCCCTTGCCCTCATTCTCTCTTTAACTGCTCCCTACCCCCGCCAAGTCATCTCTGCACAAATGGAGTTGAATTCACTACACTTTGGATCGTTTTCCTGTTGCAATAGTATTACAGATTGAAATCTGCCCTCACCACTTTACCTGGTGTCCAGCGTTGTTCATCTTTGAGATAAGCCAGGGGAAACCTTACAACCAAACAATCGTGAACAGGGTTCTTACAGTGCACAGACTTTAAAGCCACTCTGGACTTGGGTGGCCACTTGGGGCCAGGCTTCCAGTCCTCAGAACACTCTACACCTCCTTTCTAAGGGGGTTGTGGTAAAAGAACAGAAAAAAAAAAAAAAATGGGAAGAACCTTAGTTAGGCCAGACTGCAAAATATGCCCTGCATCCAGAAATGGGCAGAATTTTCCTCCGCACCAGGGAGGCATGAACGTGGGGATGAACTCAGGTGCTGGGCCAGTCAGCATCCTTTTGTCATAGGGTTGTGAGACTGTGTTTTCATTTTGTTCTTCTGTGGTATTCACTGTGAATAATGTTAAAAGTGAGATGCTTAAAGTATAAAGGTGAAGGCGAGGATGGAAAAGTGAGCCGTGGTGGGGATAGACAGACATGGAATAGTGTCCTTTTCCCGGGATGATCATTAACAGCCCTGCTTCTCTAACTGGGGGACTTTTAGGTGTTCGGTTTTATAGCTCAATTAGACTGATTTTTATTTACATGGTATTGTTTTTGCCTTTTTTAATTATTTTACTTAAATGACTTGTTTTCATTGTATTTTTACAATTACTTCTATTATGGCAAGACATACCTGTAGTGTTACCATGGAGTTTGCTTTTAAATAAGTTAAAAATTAGTCAATTTAAGAAAAACTATTAAGTGAATAATAGGACAGGTGCTTCTCGTGCGCGGCAAATATGACTAAGTGGAGTTCCCAAAACAGTCATTTCTCCCATCTTTAAAATAACCCTTTAAAAAAGAAAAAGAAAAAAGAAACAAAAGGAAAAAATAAACGACTAAAAAAATAAAAAGTAAAATAACCCTTTGGCTATTGCACTATTTCTCAGCTCTTCTTGTGGTAAAATTTCTTGAAAGTATTGTCTGTCTTTGCTATCTCAAATGTTCCCATTCACTGTGGTGCATTTGTTATTTTTAAAAACTGACATAAAACATGTACAGGAAGGTGCACAAATGCTAAGTGAATGATCACAAAATGAACATACCACATTACCTCCTGCCAGCTCTCCCAGGGGACCCCTTGGGCCTTCTTTCGAATAAAAAATATCTATTTCCTCCTCAAAGGTAATGATAACCCGTCTTCTAATGGCATGTGTTAGTTTTGCCTTGTTTGTAAAGTTTATATAAATGGAATCACACAGTTTTTAAAATGTTATTATTATTACTTTTTTATCCTCACCAGAGGACACAGGTTTTTTTTCATTGCTTTTAGAGAGGAAGGGAGAGTGAAAGGGAGAGAAATATCAATTGGTTGACCCCCCCGACACACACATATGTGCCCAGGACACACATGCACATACAGGGAATCAAACCTGCAACCTAGGCATGTGCCCTGTCCAGGAAATGAACCTACAACTTTTTGGCTATGAAATGACACTCCAACCAACTAAGCCACACTGGCCAGGGTTCATAGAGTTTTTATTACATAGCATTTGGCCTCTTTTACCTCACGTTGTGTTTGTAAGATTTACCCATATTATTGAGCCAGCCTATGGTCTTTTACCTTTTTTGTGTCCATGTAGAATTGTATTATATAACTATGACATAATTTATCCATTTTGCTGTTGACAGATCCCTTGCTGTTTCCAGGTTTTGGCCATTGTTAGTAATGCTTCATGAACGGTCTGATAACTTCCTGTGCATGTTTCTTCAAACTTCTCCTGCCTTTGCTCTTGATTACTCCACATTTTCCGCACTGGCTTCCTTGCCTCTCCTTGAATATCCCAAGTCCACTCCCACCCCCAGGCCTTCGCATGTGCTCTCCTTCTTCCTAGAACGCTCTTCCACTACGTGTCCACGACTTGCTCCTTCGTTGCTCTCAGGACTTTGCTGATAGTTTCTCTCTCAGCTCTTTGCAAAGCCGTTTTACAGTCAAATTAGAAAGTTATCAACATGAGTGTTACTTGAATAATACAGGACATAGGATGCAGAAAGAATAAATGTTGGTTCTCATTGCCTACTTTAGAAGTAATATTATTTTAAACAAGCCTCTTTTTTCTTTGAAAAAAATTATAATTCATTTACACAAATGATAGTTCTAAAATATAATAAAGCTGGACCTACAGTATACGTGTTTAGAGAAACTGGCAGAGATGTGTGGCAAAGCCCTCTTTTAGGGGATTGATATAATAAGATAAACATTCCCTCTCTAAATAATAAAT